TATCTAAAGTATAAATATTAACAGTATAAATATCATATCTTTTAATTGTTAAGAGATTTGGTAAATCAAATATAAAAAATATTTCATTTATGTTACTAATAAGAAACAAAAAATAATTATATTAAATATGAGAATTTAAAATATAATTAAAAAAAATTATTTTTTCTTCTAGATTTTTTAGTAATTACTATAAAATAGTAATTTAGCAATAAATTGATAGATTATAATATTTTAAAAAACTATATTTTGGATAAATGAAAATGTTTTTGCAGTTATTAATTTTTAGATAATAAAATTTTGTAATTAATATTGTTCTGTAATCTAATGATAAGGTTTTTTTAATTTGTAAATAATAGAGCAAGTATCTATTATGTAATTTAAAATTTTTTAATAAAGCTTTAATTAACATTTCTTTTTATAAATCTAAACATATAATTAATTAGATTACATATAACTCTTCCTAACGATCACTCGTACCAAATTTATGGCTAACGAAAACAGAAACTTGTTGAAGAAAAGTAGATGAGACAACTACAATAACAGTTTTTATAGTGGTCAAGGTTTTCATTTCTATTCTTCTGAACTCTTCTATATATTCAGTATGCAAGTTAAAAGCATTCTTGTACAAGATAACTAGCGAGAAGGTGGTGCCCTTGTACAAAAAATTTTAATAGAAGCTATGCTTCTGCTGATGAAGTTAAAGATAGTTAGTCTAAGGAGAACAACAAGCAAGTTTTCAACACACTCTCTACCGAAGTTTATGGATATCTACAAACTGAAACCCTACACCAAACTCTACTCTTTGCACTTTTCAAAATTTTCACCAAAAAGTGGAAAAAACAGCATACTCCCATTGATTGCTTAACAACAACAATCACTATCGAAAAAGAAAAGTCATATACAGGAGTACGTGTCTACTTTTGGATAATAGCATTGTATCAGTTACCTCAAGAGGTTACAGTGTTTACACCGAGATCTACAGAAGCTGAAAAGCATAGGTCGCTTAACTTTGGCCAGGAACAAGCACTAGCACAAGAATATATTGCAGAATATCACACCAAACTCAGTGGGACCACAAGAAAAATTTCAGACTTGGCCTCTACTCAAGAATAGATATTTTATATATCTTAATATAGACAATAAGTAACTAGTGTAAAGTTTAAACTAGATTATTTAGTAGTCTATATAATTTTTACAATTCGGCATGAGTTTAATAGTATTATCTTTATTTTCTTTTCTTTTATTTTGTTTTTCTTTTATATATTTTTTAGTTTTATTTGTTTAGATGGATCAAATCTGAATGTTGAGGTATCACCCCTTTTTTTTCTTGCTCTTTGTTTTGTATCTATATTTCATAGAAAAGATGATACTGATAGGCATGTGGCACTAGCCAATGATCGAAAGATTCATGTCTCTAGGAAGTTAAAGGCCCGGAGAGAGGCAAATAGCCACTAGATGATATCGCACCTGGGCTTTAAGCTGAGTGAGTCACTTGTTACAGTTAAAGAAGTATTAGCTATAGTTAAATTCTTGTAATTTTGCTTGGTTATCATCTTAATAAAACAGTAGCAAGACATGCCAAAAAATAAAAATAAAAAAATAATTAGATTAAATATAAAATTTTTGAATACTTTTTTAATGTTTGTTTTTTTTTTTTTTTTTTTTTCAGTATTAAGGTGACTTCTTGGTTGTCTGCTTTTATTCAATTATTGTTAACTTTTACAGTAAGGTATGTATAACAAACCGTATACATATTTGGAGAGTACAACTAGCCATATATGCAACTTTTGGTTGCCTATTTAAGTAAACACTCAGAAGGTTCTACACTAGCTGCTATACTTATAACCTTACTGAGTTACCTATTTAAACCCTTTGCACCTATATACATTAATCATCTAATCGAGCGAGGATACGCAGTACCTCTTTATTTTCAGACATCTGACTTAGGACTTTAAAGCAGGCTCTTATTAAATCCTTTATCCTCGAGATAAACCTGCTAAAGCTTTCTGTACCCACAAATCTAGCTGGTCTAGACTTTTAGTAACTTATGCCAAGTCTGAGAACAAGTACTTACAAGCCGAAACTGTACCATTACCTACTACTGCCCTTGTAGAGTTCATCTAAGCCCCAGCATCCACTATACGGACTATCTCTCCATATACCCATCATTCCAAACTTCCAATCCAGATAGCCCAGAAGGGCTGTGACCTGCCTCTGGTCTCTACAGTTAGGTCCTTTTTCTCTAGTTACTTTCCAGCAGCCTGGTTGGTGGAGTGCCTTGCCAAACACTTCGATTCTGTTCAGTTTTCTGGTTTCCTGGTTGATAATCCTTTACATAGTACTGTCGAAGATCTGTGCTACCTCTCTACTCGGGTCTTGTCAAGCAGGCTTCCATGTGCACCGACCTTGGATTTACACGACTGCTTTACTCAGGTTTTGTGTAACTCGTATATTATACTATTGTTTCACAGTCTTTCAGTACAAGCTGGTGTGACCTAGTTACAGATGTTGATCCGCTCTTACACTCACAGTTGCTGTAACACTGTACTAAGAATTCAAATTTTCGTCGCCAGTAGGATTCGAACTTTGTTTTTGCCACTTGGAGATGCAACAACTTCACCACTTCACTAAGTTACCACACCCTTTTTAATGTTTGTTTTGTTTATATTTTTTTTAAAATAAGTAATAATATTTAATTTTTCTCAAGTATTCTACTTTTTTTTAATTTTTGTATTATATATGCTTTTGAAATTTTTTTATTATTTGAAATGCTATTTTTTTTTAATAAAAAAAATAAAATTACTAACATTGTTTAAGGTACTGCTATTTGCACCATGGTTTTTGCTATTTTAAATCATTAGTTTGACCAGAGTTAAGGTTAGTTTTAGTCAAATTAATAGTGTAAATAGCAAAAATTATAATGCAAATAGCAATTTTCTATTATTTATATAGATATTAATATACTAAAAACAATTATAAAAAATATTGTTATTTTGTTTTTAAATATTTACAACTTTTTTTTTTTTTTTTTTTTTTATACCTTCGCAATGTTATGAAAGAATGAATTTTTATTAGCTATTTTAGTAGTATATTCTTGGCTAGCAAAAGTATATATAGCCACATATACAACTTTTGGTTGTCTAATTTAAGTAGTCCGCCTGAAGGTTCTACACTATATGCTATACCTGTAATCTAACAAGGAGATTACTTATTTAAACCCTCTGACATTCCGGTCCTGCACTACCATTACAATTACACCAATTCATAACCTTGTGCTGCTTCTTATTGAAAACAATCTAAATCAATATCTGCTATACTACTTGAACCCTAATTCTATAGATAACCCAGTAGGGTTCTTATACTATCGGATTGCTCTAAGGAGAGTATAGTACATACTCCCTTAATCTTTCTATATCCCAAGCACTTCCAGATTAGGCTACGAATACCTTTCGCAGCAGCTGAAACTACTACTAGCAGTTAAAACAAACTATTAAACTGCACAATTCTGGTATCTGATACTTTTGCAAGGTTCATTCTGATCCCAATATCTACATCAAGCCAGTTCTTATACTGATCCCTCCCCAACTACCAAACCAGTTAGCCTAGACAGGTCATTATACCTAGGCTTTAAGTGCCTTCTGGTTTTACTTCTCTTGGTTTCTAATTCCGTAGTATAGGACCCTTTTCTCCAATAAGACTCCGGTGGCCAGGTTGGTGGATCCTTCTTGCCCCAGAGTTTTCGTCTGGTTTTTCAGTCTCCGGTTTCTGCCTTTTCTACAGTATTGTCAAAGATTTTCACTATCTTCTTATTCAGGTCTTGCCAAACAGGTTTCAATTATTCTAGTTCCTTGGATTTAGTTCACTTAAGAGCTGCCATTTCGAGATAGTAGTACCAAGATTACAGATAATATATCTAACCAATTATCGAATAATTGTTACCAGTATACAGGCTTATTTTTCTAAAAATGTTTCTAGTGGAAATTGAACTCTAGACCTGCCGCTTGGGAGATAACAACTTAACTACTACTCTAAATCACCACACCCCTATTTACAACTTTTATTTCTAAAAAAAACTAAAAATTCTTTTTGTTTTTATAATTCTTTATAATTGCAAAAAAAAATTTAATAAAAAAAAAACTTTTTATGAAATTAAAAAGAAAATTACTATGATTCACAGCCTGTGAAATTCACAGGTCTGCATTTAGCTAATCAAATTTATTATAGTTTACTTCAAAAAAAGTTTCTATTTAAATTAGAGTTGGGTTAAGGTTATAATAAATAATAAATTTTATAGTAAAATTTAGCAAGAAATTTTTTACTTATAATGCCAAAGGTGGTTTCTTAAGCTAAATTTTGTGTTATAAGTAATTTTTTATTTTTTTTTTATAAAAAAACTTTGTTTTTGCTATACAAAGAAATTTGCAGACCATATTAATTCTGCAATTTTGATTAATTAGATGCAAAGCTGTGAATTTCACAGTCTGTTAAGATTAGCAATTCTTATTAAAAATTATATAGTAAAAAAAATTATAAAAAAATTTAAACAAAAATAATTATTAAGTAATGATACAAACTCTTTCCCATACAATTTCGTAAGGAAAAAGTAAAAATAAAAAAACAAGATAACTACTCAATACAGGTTTAATAACTACTTTAACCAAGGCCTAACAAGGGCAATAGCCCTTGTACCAAAGAAAAGAAAATATTTTCCTCTTGAAATACAGAAAACTTGCAACAAAAAATCAAAAATATAAAATTTGTTCTTCCACGAACAAAAAGAAAAAAACAGTATGTTTCAATAACAAGAAAACAAAACCACAACAAATGTAGCTACTTCAACACAAGAAGTAAAACCAGCTACAAACAAGGCTAATTGGGAAGAGCTAGTTTCTTAAGAAGAAGAAAACCAAGGCTTGGCCTTTACAAACACATTAATATGTAATAATAAGAAACAACAAAACAATAAAGAAAGTTATATAGCAAAACACATACAAAATCATATGACCTCAAATCATGAACAACCATCAAAACAAAACATGTCTGGTGTTACAGAATTCTCTAAATACAATCTATATATTGTAAGTTCATCTTCTAAAAGAAAAGCCAAAGAGGATTTTAATTAACCAAAAGATACAATAACTAAGAAGTAGTTAAGTTTATTTCCCAAACTAAGAAAAGGCCAATCAACATATGCAGCTTTCTCTCCCAGAGAACAAATAAGAACTAAAAATGAAAATGTATTAATTATTGAAATACAAGATATCCAAAGCTCCTTTAATAAAATAATGGTCTTGCTTTATAAAAGCATTAAACAAGATGTTATAGCAGCAAAACAATACTTCAAAAAAGGAAATCGCATACACTTAGAGATTATTTTTACTAACAGAACTACTCTGGGTGTCTATGCAGCCAAAGGCATCAATATTTTTAACAAAACTTATTCCAACAGATTCAAGCAAATCTTTTCTTCTAATTAAACTCCATAATGTACCATTAGGAAGAAAAGAAGAGATAATAATGCTAATCAAAAATGCATTTCAAGATTTAGGCAAAATAGCCTCAATTAAACCACTAGTTATTGAAGAAACTCTATATTTAACAGATCAATAGATTGTCATTTCGATACAACCAAAGATGCTGATTTAGAAAATCATATTCCTCACTTTACTCATCTTAGAGACAACAAAGTTATAACCAAATAGAAGTTAGCTTCTAAAGTTTGTTACTTCTATAACCAAGAAGGTTATATAAAAAAAGAATGCACTCAATTCAAAGAATCAGTTGCACTAAGACAACATTATCAGGAGTTTAAAGAATCTTTCAAAACAAGAGACAGTGACTACTACAATAAAGCAGCACAGGCAGAAGAAACTCCTTTAGAAACTAATATAAATAAAGATTCAAGAGATGAATTAATAACAGTAGATGTGCCAGAAGCAGAGGCTGTTACTCATAGCACTTCAAACAAAAATGAGGATCCCTGAGAAGAAGCTAAACAAGATTCCACTTTTATTAAAACTGAACTTACAACAAGAAATAAACTTGCTCTGAATGGTTTATTCTTTAACAATAATAACAAAGAAAACAATCCTCTTTCAGAGGATGGATTTACAGCAACTCCTGTGAAAGAAGACTTCACAGTGGTATCCTACAAAAAGAAAGACAAAAAGTTAAAAATATTCGCAAACAGGCAACAGCAAGACAAGCTCTATATAAAAAAGGACGTACAAAGAAGAACACTCCAAAAGCTCAGTAAAGCATATTAACTCTATATATATAATGACTAAAGCAATAATTAAAATTGCAACTCTAAATGTAAAAGGATTTAATGATCTGATCAAAAGGTATAAAACAATGATACTTCTAAAATCTTACAACTTAGATATAATATTTTTACAAGAAACAAATCTTAACAATCAAGCAATACAAACCTTTATAAAGAAACAATGGATCTATAACTCAATTTGGACAAGCAAAACAGCAATACTGGCTAATAGAAAAAAATTAAATTTTAGGATATAGAGATTATATATAATGGAAGGGTTATTTCTACAAGCTTTCATATAAAAATCGATCTTTTTCAGTTACAAATCTCTATGCTTCACAAATATAAAGAACAGAATGAATTTTTTTAATAAGTAGTCTCCACATTATAAAAAATATTCTATTAATATTCTAGCAGGAGATTTCAATATAAATCTTAATCCTGCTATAGATAAAATAAGGCAAACTGCATTTCAAAATGACAGTATTAGAATTCAACTTAAAAACTTGGTAAAGAGCTATATAGACTCTGCTCTTTATATAAAACAGAAACCTTTTCTTATATTTCATCAAAAATTTCAAAATAACAAAACAATGGCAACCAGACTTGATTATATCTTTATAGATGAGAATCACAAACATCTTATTAGTAAACTCTTTCTGACGATCACCTAAAAATTACAAAAATTAACAAAATATAGAAGAAAGATACTCAAAAAAAGACCTAAATAAAGCTAGAATATAGACAAAATTAACACAAAACGCAAAAGAACAACTGACACAACAACTAACATAACAACAAAACAACAACAGTACAAAAAACACAACAAGAAAACTAAAAACTTCAACAACCAGTCCTCAACGGACTTGGTAGAAGAAAACAGCTTGCAAAAGCAAAATAATACATATATACCAGTGTATGCACCTAAGTTACCAATAGACAACAGTATGGACAACCAAGAAATACAGAATACAAACAACAACCAACAAACTTCTGCCTAAAGTAAAAGACGCCGCTACAACAATATACCCATCTCTACAACTTACAAAAAATCGACAAAAAGTGGGCAAAACAGTTTACCCCTGCCAAAACACACTATGACATCATACGTTATACAGAATAACACAACAACAACTATAATGGGAAATAACAACAACAACAACACAACAATCACAGGAAACACAAACACACAAAATAACACAAATATAGCAGACGCACAAACACAGCCACCAACAAACAAAACACATGACCTAATATCCAATACAGGAAATAACTCCAAAACAACAGCTATGCAGGTAGATATAGAAAATACAACAGCTACAACTCATAATCAAAACAAAACAGGAAACCAAAACATCAATACCCAACAAAAATTATACAGCCACGTACTACAACAAAATATCCACCAACAAGATCAAATGCAAATAGATGAGGAAGCACTACACGAGTAAACATAAAGTTGGATTAAACATATACTCCAAGAACTGGACAACCAAAACCAAAACAAGTTTGACTACAGGATTTGGCCAATAGACAAAATAATTACAGCACTCGACGACACAAATGGCATTGAAGAATTTATACAATACAAACTAACAACACAACCCACACAAAACCAGATTCCAAAGGCCATATTTCTTAAATTCAAATATCTAGATCCTGCATTCTTTACATCTTTCACCCAAAATAGACAAACCACACCCGCACACCAAAATGAATTTACTAACTTACTCAAAGCAGCTATCGCTAAATACAAAGACAAAAATGAAATCACTTTAACAAACAGAGAAACTAGAGACATAATCCAACACAAACTGAGACAAAAATTAATGATAGAATATCTTACAAATCTCAACTTTAGACAGCTTCCACCAAGCAAGACATACCAGATAATCAAATACAGCCGAAACTTTATCTGTGCAAAACCTATTACAGACTACAAACAAATCCAAACAGCAGTTAACCAAGTATACAGCATTCAACGACAACAACTACCTGAAACTCCTGAAGAAATAGACAGCCAAACCAAAAACATACTACCTTTCGAATTACCAATTAAACAAAGATCTCAAACAAAAGCAATCGTTAACTCTCTTAGAGTAATTTTTAACTTCCCAAGCCTACCAGACACCTACTTTACTATATTACCAAACCTTCCAAACAAACCATCAGAATTAAAAGAAGAACTAAAAATCTATTTTCCCTTTACTGATCCAAAACAACTAAAAGAGCTTCGATTCTACAAAAAGAAACTCATCGACTACTACAGCTTTACTAAAATACCTGCAACATACTTTGCTCTACCATCAGAATGAGAACCCCTACCATTAACTTACCACGAACTAAATAATGGAGTTAGACACCTCTTCCCCATCGATCCATCATTAGAAGAAACAAATATTAGAGACATAGCAGAAGCACTTAGAAAATACTACAAGTTCAGAAGTATACCAAACGACTTCTTCATACAAAAATCTGTATTACTACAGGAACCAAACAAAATTAAACTACACACCAAATTTACCTATTCGATTACTGATAACAAAATAGCACAAGAATTCTTCAAAGAGGTAAAGACAAAATATAAGATAATTTTCCCTATAAACAAGTCAATCCTGACAGCCAACTCTACAAACAAACCAAGACTACCTTTAGACCCGACAGAGATCAAGGTATTCAATATCACAGTACCTATTACATCATCTAGAATACTAGTAGAAACAGCTAAACTCCTGAGAGAAGAATACTACTTCGAACACATCCCATTAGAATGGATCAATATACCTATCACACCTAATGAAATTCATAAGATCAAAACTAACAAAAACCCAACAATACCAGAAAACCTAGTTGAACTACAAGAAGCACTTGAAAAAATTACTGACGAAATCTACATCAATGTACCTATTAAACAACAAAAGGAAATTAACTCCACGATATCAATATTTCAACAGCACTTTGAAATTCCACAAATCCCAGACTACATACTAGAACTCCCTCCTCTCCCAAAACCAACTTGGGACATCTTCGTCTAATTATGTCAAGCTCAAAAAACTATAACAAGAACGAACATACAACTAATATACACAACACAAACAACTATATACAAACAGACACTATTAATTTAGCCTTACACAATATACGTGAACTCAATGACGATATCAAAAGACAACTATGGCTTGATTACTGCAAAAGAAAAAATATAGATATAATAAGCATAACAGAAACCAAACTCGCAGAATCAAAATATATAAACTTACAACTACATAATGAAACATACTATTTTTATATATCAAATACCACAGCAACAACAGCCAAAAAACAAGAATCAAGCATGGGAGTCGCAATAGCACTACACAAGAAATTACAACCATATATATATAATATACAAACTTACCCAAGAACAGCACTCAGTATTGATATATTCTTACCACACAAAAACCAACTTCGTATAATAGCAATATACCTACCTTGCAATAACAAACAACTCAA